CCGGCCAAGGGCAAGGCGCGCGATAAGGCGGTGGCCGACGAGACGGTCGTCGCTGAAAAGAAAAGGGGTGGGAATAATCCTAAAGATTCCCACCCCGCCATTACCGTCCCGGCCTACGAGTGGGTCTGAGGGGACGTCGGAGAGTTTCAGAGCGTCTTTAAATCATTTCTTAAGGTCAATGCGATATGTAAATCGCATAGGATCTGCCAAGCGTCCATCTCCAAGCTCATCCGGGTTGAGCCTTGTCAACCAGGCGAGCATGTGTATATGGGGGGTACCTCTAATCCCCCTTTTTTCTGTGTACCAGTATTTTTTTAGGGATTTAGGCGTTTGTCTACCCTTCACACAATTTGAGTGTAAATTTTTTAACTTCATCAAGGTGGCTCCTTGCCAGCTGCACCCCAATAATTGGGGTTTTTTTAGGGCTTTTCAAGTCCTGTGCTCCGCCCTGGGGATAGGGTTGTCACTGCCCGTGTTTCTCCATTTTTACCAACTCAAGTACTTTTTTAGAAGCGTTATCTATTAATAGACATCGTTCAAATAGAGAGCGCTTTTTAAGCCTGCTTTTCTCACCCTGGTCAGCTCACAACAATTTGCTAGACTTGACAATGAATACCCTTATTCACATCTTTCAAATTTCTATGAGCTTTGTGGTACAATAGGTATCCTAGAAGGTGATGAAAAAGCTATGTACTTGAGGTTGTTCCCATTTTCTTTGACAGGAAAAACTAAAGTATGGTTACAATCTCATCCTAATCAAAGTCTGACAAGTTGGAGTGATGTAGAGAACAAGTTTGTTAACATATTCTATCCTTCATCCAAATATATCAAAGCCAAATTTGAGATTACTACTTTCAAGCAAAGTGTGGATGAACCATTTTGTGAAGCCTAGGAAAGATTTAAGTCACTGCTCAGAAAATGTCCTAACAATGGGTTTGAAGACATAGCCCAACTCAATTTCTTTGTTATTAGAATCAAACCTGAGTTGAAGATGTTATTAAATGCAGCAGCTGGTGGTACCATGATGATTGTAAGCCTGGAGGAAGCTACTCAAATTATAGAATCCTTGACATCTTCTGATCATCAGGCAAATCATGGCAAAAATCAATCTCACAAAAGAGGGATTATGGATCTAAGAAGAGTTGCAATGATTATCTTTTCTAAAGCTATTATATAAGAAGAGTTGAAGTTCATAAAGAAATAAAGCAAGAGAGATATACATGAAGAGACACATTATGTAAATTATACTTATGTATAAACTTCATTCTTTTTTGTAAAAAACTTATTGCACTATATTGGTTGTATAACGTCTAAGTGAAATGAAACAACATCTTTGTAAATTTTATAATCATTGTTATATGGTTGAGCCTAGAGAGACTTGTCTGTAAAAGAATACCTGGTGTTGAAGCTTGGAGAGGCTTTATGTGAAAAGAATACTTGGATAGTTTCTTAAAGAGGTAAGTCAAAGAATACTTAGGGTTGAGGCATAAGTGATTTGTTGAAAGAATACTTGTATGTTCGTTTAAAGATAGTGGAATTCAATTTGGTTGGATTAAGAACTAGATGTAGTCTTGGTGGTTAAGACAAATCAAAATAAAAATACTCAAGGTTTCATTCGACTTCTCTCCGCACTCCATTTGACTAATGTTACTACTTTATTATGAAAAAAATGTGAGTTTTTGATACACACTATTCAATCCCCTTCTAATGTTTATCTTTTCTTCATAACTATATTAATAACTTCACAACATGATTAGAACCTCATAACTTATCAGCATAGCAACCAACTACATGATAACTTATCAACACAACCTCTTTATGCGTCGTCATGAATCTTAATGCGCCACAACACATATCCACACAATGTAATATCTCATCTTTCAAAACAACACATTTCTTCTCTAATCATAAGTTCACAACAACTTAACAACATAACTCAATAGCACAATGTAAGAACGTAACTCAACAACACAACGTAAATTTGCAATTTAACAAAACAACTTAACTATACAACACTAGAATCAATGCTAGTTGAACTTCCTATAACACAATTCATCAATCATAACAACATACTACAACATATTTCAATAGTATTTTATCTTATCTTCTCAACAATATAATTAAAAGCATCAAGTTAATAAGTCACGAAACACATTGAGTAAGTTGAGCTCTCTAGAGCTCTTCACTAAGTGACATTACTCTAGCTTAACGAGGGAAGTACTTTGTGACTTTCCTCGCTGGACGGGCTTTTGGGTTATTGGATGACTAAAATCCTCTAGAGTTTTTAGTTGAGCATCAAAAGCTTGCTGAGCGATCCATCTTTTCTTTGTAAATTCTCACTGAGCGGGCATATCACATTGAGCAACTAGGATCCTCTATAGGTCCTTTTATTGGGCGTAATATGTCTCGAGTGAGTGAGCTTAGCCACAAAATTGTTCTATCATTGATTGACACTTCTGCCTCTGAGGGAGAATATGATTCTAGGTAGATATTTATCTATTCTTGAAATGACATTAGGAACTATGGACCTGTATTGGGCGAAAATAGGGGTCTTCACCCTTAACATCCAACTTTTCTCTTCAATTCCAACCACCAACCCTTACCAACTCATCATGCAACATTCAAATCAACATTTTATACATAATAGACAACTCAAATTTCAAAATAATTACTACATGTAATAAGAATGATCAAAGACCATCAATTCTTCTTCCTTCACCAAGAAAACCTCAAAAACATAGCACGTGGGTTCAACCTTCAAATTTCCACATAGAACACCATTCAAGCATGAATTCAACACAACAATTCAACATATTCATCTTAGAAATCTAAACCACAAGTTTCCCTTACCTCAAATCCTTCATAAATAAGGAAAGGAAGAAGAAAATTTTGAGAACCTCAAACTCTCATACGACAACTTCTCCTCTAATTCTTAGCTCTTCAGCTTTGAATTTCTATTCAGTTACAACAATCTCTACTCCAAGGTAGTATTGAGGGACTATTAAGAAGTCACAAGAAAGAAAGATCTCCTTTGACTCCAAAGTCTATCTCTCTAAAACCTTTCTCTAGGAATTTTGAGAAATGAACTTAGGAAGATCAAGTTCTCAGAAAATCTTATATACATTCCCTCAACTTGGTCAACTTTGACCTCAACACAAAACAACTTTGACCTTAACACAAAAAAACTTCAAACTACTAAACTGATAATAATTTTTTAATCTTTAGAGTTTTAAAATGCCAAAACAACACATCATCATAAATTAATTAAATATTAAAGTTTACAATAATCACAACTCACAACACAATATTACATCTAATACTAATTCTTTATCATTAAAATTAGCTTTGGAGGCAATGTTTTCAAAATATGGATCAAGTTTATTAAGGTTGTGTGGACAAGGACATGATGGAGTAAATAATATGTGAATTTAATGGTTTCAAGAGCTTGATATTAAAAGATAGTTGTTTTGCATTTTATATTCATTGTTTTTCCCATAAACTTTAATTCGCTCTTGTTACAATATAAAAAAAAAAATAAGTTGGAGTTGCACTATTTTGTTTTTAATGTGGCTGCTAATTTGTCTAATGTTGTTGGAGCAACATATAAGCTTCGAGATATTCTTCGAGAAAGTCAAATTGCAAAGGTGAAAAAAGCATTGCAAAAATGAGAAATCTTTGGTGAGTGTGACTTGAATCAAGAAACTACAATCAAAAAGGTAAAAGATACTAGACAAAGCTCACTTTTTGGTACATTACTTATTCTAGTTTCTTTGTTCCTTTCCATGATTGATGTACTTGAAATAATTGAGGAAGATGGCATACATTTAGAACAAAAAGGTAAATCATGTGCTTTATTGATTCTATACAAGATTTTGAAGTTGTTTTCGCCTTGCACTTGTTGGAAAATATTTTAGGGATTACACATTAGTTATCTCAACCATTGCAAAGAAGAGATTAAGATATTGTAAATGCTATGAAAATAGTTTAAGTGTCGAAACAAAGATTACAAGTAATGATAGATGATGGTTGGTCTTCTTTGCTCAATGATGTTTCATCATTTTGTGAAAAGCATAACATTGTGATTCTAAATATGAATTCCATTTTTCAAACATAAGGAAGGTCAATGTGCAAAGTAGAAAAAAGTTTTTAATCTACATTTTCAAGTTGAATTATTTTTTCAAGTGATTGATCAACAACTTCAAGAGTTGAACAACTATTTCATTGAAGTAAATATTGAGTTGCTTCTTGATGTAGCATACTTAAATTCAAGAGATTCATTTTTTTTTGCATTTAACAATGAGAAGTTGATTCATTTTGCTCAATTTTATCCTTTTGAATTTTCTCTTGTTGAACCTTTGGCACTAAATAACTAGCTTGAAAATTATTTCATATAGTTTTAAAAGTGCATTTTCATAATTAAGAAGGATTGATGATCTTTCTTACTTTCATAGTTAAGAGGGATTGGTGATCTTTCTTACTTTCTTACCGGTAGCAACTACATCAGTTGAAAGAGTTTCTTTGCTATGAATATCATCAAGAATCGAAAGAGAAATCACTTAAGAGATGAATGATTAAATGATTGTTTAATTACTTTATATATATATATATATAGAAAGATTTTTTGATAATATTAAAAACGAAAGAATCGTCCAATGTTTTTAAAAATGTTATTTTATATTTTAAACACTACAAATTTATGTATATAAATATTATTTTACAACTTAAAATTTCTAAATCTATTATTATATAATAAACATGGAAGAAAAAGATAGAATAAAATATTAAATTCTATCTTTCGCTCATGGAGAGAAATAAAAAAGAATGTGATTAACCAGAATTTATTGTGTGAATGGAAGTGAATTCAATTGCGTATCTAACATTGTGAAGGGCAGAGAGAGGAAATTGCAGGGCAATATGAACACATAAAAAACTTATCCTATCCTATCCCATCATTGTGAAAATAACCTAACTATATGATTACATGAACACTTATCTTGCCGCCACTGTGGAAAGGAGTGTTGTCTCATCCCCTCAAGATTTTGATTAAGCCAAATTTGTCTTTCTCATCCCATCCCCCTCATTTCCATTTTATTGTCAATTCATTCATTACCTTATTCCATTTGCTTCTTTTTTTATTCTTCATATTTTAGTTTAGTTTTCATACTAGTACAAGTGTTTCCAAGGTTATTAATAAAAAAATACGGGTTAGGATTGATTTGATTAATTTAATGCTTATTTAATTTAAAATTATTTACTCAAATTTAAAATTTATTCCAAAAATCGATATTACATGAATTATAAATTAATTATTCTAATTTATTATTGTAATATATTGAAGTATATTTTATAAATTAAAATGCGGGTATGAGTGAAATAAAACTTAAACCCCTTAGGGATTGATACATTTTTTCATATATGACATAAATCTTGATAAATATGAAAAATTGTTTGATTAATCATAAATATTTCTAGAAATATTTTTAAATGTAATTTGAAAATCAATTTTTTATTATATTCAATAAATAACTAAATAAAAATAACATAATATTTTTATCATTTTAAATTTTATTTTTATCTTGAAAAAATTAGTTTCTAACCTCCTTTGAGAATAATTTCATGAAAAACCTATTAAAAAAATATTATTTTTCTTAAAACTATTATTTTTAAATAATAAATCAAACATAATAAACCAATAATTTTAATATAGAAAGTAAAATTGTGTATGAAAAAGTTGTATAAAATGAAAGAATCATACAAACTCTTTACCATTAGGATATTGTTGTACCTCAATATTTCCTCCGTATTAAACAAGACATAGACCATATTGTTTAATTTCTAGAAACTTTTACATGTTTCAATTTAGTGCTACTGCTACCCCCTAATTGACGCTATCATTCTTCTATCTGTCTAAGGCCTAAGTCCTGACTTTCACATTT